ATCAAACAGATTCGATTATTTAAATAAAAACAAACTTTATTTTATATGCGTTGTGAGTTACCTCTGGTGTTTCCAGGGATCCTTGTTGTGCCTTGTTCACGGTTTCGTATTCTAAACTTGATTTAATCACTGTTCGTTATCTGCAAATTCTACATTATTCCTCTTGCATGCTCTTGCGTATCGAATCAAGTGGGAGACTTAAACTCCTTATGCAGGTGATAATGGTATAATGCTACATAAATAAGAGAAAATGACGATAGGAAAGTTTATCATAAAGTTTTGTTGTTAGGGTACCATTTATCTTCTAGATAAAATATCCAAATTTGAAACTGATATGTCAGTTTCTGTGGTATTTTTTTATATCGAGTTCAAAAAGATATATCGAATCAATGTAGGAATGAAAATGAATATTGTTGATTGATAAAACATCGTCTATATATCTAAATGTTGAATTGAAGGCCACAGTAATAGACTTCTTCTTTTCATGCATAAGATTTTGAATAAATTCTGCTTCATACGAATTAAAAATAGGTCTGTTGATAACGGGGTGCATTTAGTACCCATGGGAATTGATCTCTAAAAACTACATAGATATTGTCAATGAAAAACTCAAGCATCTTTTTAATACCAAATTTGGAGCACTTTTGTGTGCGATCAGAATGATTTTTCAATAAAATAATTTTGCAAATGATCTATGACAAGGTAAGGGAATTTTTATGAGTTCCATTTTAATTGAAAAAGCAGCTGTCAAAAAGCCTGAACTTTAATTTATCATGGGAAATGTTTGTATAAAGAGTTTTAAAAAATCGTACTTTTTGATGTTATTGATTTTGGTAAAATTTTGTGATTTCAAATTTTCTAAAAGTTTCTAGGAGCTTTTAAGTATCCAAATCTGATTTACACCACTTCTTGAATATATTGTTGTACAATACTCCTTCAGCTTCTCCTTCACTGTCGTTAATATAATGATGAGGAATAAAGAAAGAGACTTTGTAGAACATTCACTAGAACCCGATATGCATCTTATTTGTAAGGATTTTATGTCGTTTAGGAATCCAGTATACATATGTTAAACCAAATTCAATTTGACTGGAATATTAAAAATATTTAAAACTGACAAATGATTTTAAAGAATTTCCTCTTCTTTCCGGAGTAAGGAGTTGATGTTGTTTAACGTCCCTCTCGAGAATTTTTCACTCATATGGATGTAAGGAGTTGATCATTACGTCATAGGTTCGAATCCACTGCGGGATATTGAGACAAGTCCTTTGGATGAGACTGTATAAATAGGGGTCCCGTGTCGCAGTAGGTGTTGGCACGAAAAAGATCCCTCACTTCTCAATGGCATGTGCAGAGAAATTTGCAGCCCTCCACCGTCAAGTGGTTTTGTCTCCATATGAGTGAAAGATTATCGAGAGGGACGTTAAATAACATACAAACAAAAAACTTCGAAATAAAACTATCATGTGGTTATTTTTTAATTTACTAGTTGGAGTTAATTCAAAATTTACAACATGATAATACTACAGCCACAATCCACCAAATAAAAAAAAAATGATCTGAATACCCTTACTCCAGATTAATTTCTAAATGGTCTACATGTGGCCCGTCTAATTTGTATCCTTATTTGCTTTAAAAGGACAGTGTCATTTTTTTCTTGTGAATTATTGTATAAATTTCTACTAAATGTCGTAAATTTTGTCATAGACGTAGACGTAAACGTAGACTTTACGACTGAATTTACGTGTGCGTAGATAGCGTTTTACTAAAGGTCGTATCTGCGCCCGTAAACGTAGTCCCGCATGTAAAGTTTCTCGTAACTTACGACAGGAACTCTTCAGTAAAAGGTAGAAAAACTAACCTAGTAACGGAAGCTACGCATGCGTATTAACTACTTTCGATTACATTGCGAGTCGTCTGCAAGATAATGGATAGAACGAAAGCGAGGAAGCCGAATTGGACGGACATCGAAATGGATGTGCTCATTGAGGCATATTGTAACTCCATAAGGATTATTCGAGGTAAATTCTCTCCATCTATTACCTCTGATGCTAAGAAAAGAGCAAGGGATGAGATAACAGAGAGGTTAGTTCTTATTTTGATATTTATTTAGGCCCCATGTTTATTTTTTGCATGTATCTGATTCTATTCTATACATTAAATTTGCAACAATGCAAAGAAATAAATTTATAAACGGCATAAAAAAGATTCCTACTACATGAATTCAATTGATTAATTATTCAAAAGACACTTCTGTGAGTGAAGACATGTCTATATTAATATATCACACTGTATGCATTAGGCCTAAATCTTTGAAATCGTGTAATGGAAACGTTCCATCAACTGACCAAGCCGTCATAAAATATCATTGAGATTTCACAGTTTTAATTTATTCTCAATAAGAGTTGATGTACATAATCCGCCACAATTAGATCCGCAGATTCATTTCAAATAGAAAGCGAAAGTAAACAAAAGGCGATAGTGGGCTAGTGAATCGAAGATGGAGAGAAACCCATAATTTATGTATGTTCTCTTATAAAAAATGTATCCATTTAGTATATTCTGATAATGATGATGAGAAATAATGTAATGCCTTTACATGCCCCTTCTTTCAGGTTGAACAATGTGCGCGTCACAGTACCGACTTTAGCATATGACACCCCCTGTTTGTAATGCATGTATGGATTAATACAGGGCGTACTATTTGTCAGTTTGAATATGAATCCTTATCCATGTTTTATCACCATTTCATACAACAAAACAAATATCGTGGATTTCAAAATTATGACGCACTGTAATTAACAAATACGAATAAAAAAATAAACAGCAATACCACGATTCATGGCAACCATGAATACTAAAGACGTATACACTGGTATACTGTATACCGGTACTAAATACATGTACATGTTATATGCCTGTATGCATCCTTGGCAGTGCAAAATTATTCACTGTATTTACAGTATATATATATATATATATATATATATATATATATATATATATATATATATATATATATATATATATATGACATATGGCTTTAGGAGACCAAGGAGGATATATTTTCTGGCTTAGGGAGACCACTGGATTAAGGCGACCTTTTTCGGTCTCCCTATTATTTTGACCTCATCAGTATTGCAAATGTCTTTTTATAGATAAATAAACAGTCTGCCATTAAATATTATTAATCTTTAACTCTGTTATTTAACATTCAAAAGTTGTCTAATTCCTATCATCTTCCCTAAAAAAGAAAAGAATGTATAACCTACGTATAATTTCAAAGGATAATTTTTCTGCATTTTGGAGACCATGAAAAACATGCAATTAAACAAAAAATCTAGCATATATATTTTTTCCGCTTTTGATATGTTCAAATGAGTGTTTCTTTAACTTAGTTTTCCACTTTTTATGTTAAAAACCTAAAAAGGAAAAATATTGTAAATTTATGGACCATGTTTTGAATTCTTAGCAAGTGCTTTCCGTCATTTGTTCCGAATGCCATCGGAATGCCTCTTCAGTTTTCAGAAAATGACCTCTGAACACCATGAATGTTGAGAAATTTGGGTAAGTAACTAAAATGATACAGTAATAAGTTGTAATTAAGAATACGCAAGACAAACATTCGTGTTTTTTTTGTTTTGTTTTTGTTTTTTGTTTTTTTTTGCCTAGTAATTTAGCTTTTAAGAGAAAAAGTATGATTTTAAATAATCATTAGACTATAGTTCGGTATATAAAATCCTGAAGGAAATTCGAAATAAAGTTAAATGATAGGCCCCTATATTTTTAATTCTTTTATGCAAGTCCACAAACAAATTGCAGAAAATATTTAAAGATTAGGCCGAACGTAGAAAAAAATAGTCTCGCAAGTTGACGCAGCTACATGTGTATGTCGAGCTTAAAAATTTAAAGTAAACTTTCTGTAAACATCATGCAGGACATGATCATCATGATATAGTATAAATGAAACAGACCCTGTAAGAAAAAAATAGCTGTAATTTAATAATTATTTATTAATATAATGTGGTCCTCTGCTGTTAAAATACATATGCAGTAAAAAAAGGGTGAAGCAGATTTGATACAATACATGGCTGAAGGAACGTACGAAATGAAATTTAGGTATACTATAGAAAACATTGCTCCTTTATGTTTGGACCCCCTCAATAATAACCTCTGATGATCTATTTTTTACTTTTGCTTTTGGCCCCCCTAAAAAATAACCTCTGGTAATGTATTTTTCTTTTGCTTATTAAGAAATTTTTAGTTTGTAGCCTCCCCCAACCTGAAACTGAAAAATGTTGTTTGGTTGTGCTCACCCCCCCCCCCCCCCTCTCCAACTAAATTACGTACGGGCCTATTCTCCATCCCTGAGGTTTTCTTTCACCAAAGAAAGATTAATTGGTAACAGTTCAGATATATAGCAATATTTACGGAAGGGAATATTCTCGTTTAATTATGAAGATGTGACAGTAACTAAATGTTACACAGTGAGTGTAACATTTATTTAATATTATTGTAACAGTTAATGTTTACAAATAGTGAAATACTGATACTATGAAATTTTAATGGATATATAGAAAATATACAAGTACAACCATTATTGTAAACCACATACACGAAAAGCTTTTTTTTTCCAAGCAATTGGAAATTCTTTACAAATCATTATCGCAGCCTAGTTCCCTTCATTATTTTCAGCAGTTCAGTGACTGAGATAAAATGATCATTTGGGGTTTATACCCCCCCCCCCCCACCAAATGAAACTAAAAAATGTTTGGTTTTGGTCCCCTTCAACTGAAATTGATTCCTACTTACCATGCTTACAGGCTTAACTATGAAGATGTGACAGGGAGTGTAAAAACAATAATTGTTCAGACGGATACATAAGTTGATATAAATATCAAATTTTAATGGATAGATAGAAATTAATATACAATTACAACCATTTATTATAAACTACATAAAGATAATTTTTCAAGCAATTTGAAATTCTTCATTTTTTAAGATAATATTGTATTTCGTATATATATGTTTATAGGTTTATTCGTATCAACAAATCTGTGTACGAGTTAATAACGCACCCTGGGTTCCCTGCATTTTCAGTGACAGAGAACCAGATATAAGAATGCAGGGAAACAAGCCTTGTTACAAGGTTTGAGGTTTGTTTATTTTATATTTTAATTTACACTTTTTTAAAATTATTATGCAAAACTCTGTGTGCAGATGAATATTTACATTTTAATGTTATAAGTCGTTTTGTGGTTCATTTATTTGCGGTGACTGTCCCACGTGTGTTTACCTGTTTACATTCACCTACTGACCTAGAGTCTTCAAAATATACCTTCTGTAATCATGACTGTTGTAATCTTGTTTTTATGTTAGTTTACCATATGTAACTTGACTGTTGTATAGATTTATAGCGATCACTGCAAGCTTTTAATATTTATGTGAAGAGAAATTTCAGACTATCAATCACAGGCACTTGTTTCATATACGGTGCACCCCTACTTATTTTTACCACAAGGTATCTAACTCAATTTTAGGCACCCTGCTTTAAGCTCGTATTTTGTTCATATATCAATCATTAACCTACTTTAAAATGACATTGTTCGCTTCATGAGACTTTTTTCTTGTCAAATAAATCGTTTCAGACGTCTCTGGTCGAGACTCTTTATTGTAAACCACTCATTTATTCCTCGAAAATTACCTCGATACATTGTTAAATTTAAGACTTTAGATGGGATACAACTTCCAGTTGGGGTAGAATAAAACCAGAGACTTCCAAGTATTCCATTCCGAGGTCTCTGGTTTTATCCTTCATTTATAACCCCAACCGCAAATTTGTTTTGAAAATTACCTTGATACATCTTAAGACTTTAGATGATACAAATTTCATTTTTTTCACAGGTCACAGGGTTTCAACTTAAAAAATAAAAATTCTCACCGTTAAGATATCTTGGAAATTTTAGCGTGATATGTTGATAATTTGCCAAATTATTATGTAATAAAAGGGACTTTATATGATCACCCGGCGCTGTCACTTTAGTTCAGTCTTCACAACAATTCTTTTTCAGCACATGCCCTTCGGGCATGTAGACCTATCATTTTTACCCAGCGCATTCAAATTTGTACATGCCCTACTCAAAATTCTTACATTTACCAGTATTGTGCTACAAAAAAAAAACATTAGGTATAAAGGTTTTATATTAATTTTTTCAGCATTGTATTTCTCCGTGACTGTACCACGTGTGTTTATTCACCGTGATTGCCATTTTCTAAAGCGTTTTTGTTCATTAATAACTTTTGAGTTGCATGCTGGTCATTTGTTGGCCGGTTTAGCTGAACTGAATTTCAGAAATGGGATCATGACTGTAGTGCCACAGTATGTGGCATCGATGAACGTCTCGTAATTTAGCAAGAAACTTCGAGAAAACAAATAGGTTAAACTAAACACTTCAATGATTAGATTGACAATCATTTGACAGGTCGTATCGAGAATGTAGACAGGCAATCCATCTAAGACATTACATATAGCAACGTTTACGGGAATAATGGGGGTAGGACAGAATAAATGGCAAGTAAAGATCGTACAATGAAAGAAGATTCACATATGCCCTCTTCGGACATGTAATTTGACAATTTTTACATGCCCAGCTGCAAATTTAACAGGTCCCTGGCATTGGACTCCCGGGTTATTTGGAAGACTGTTAGTTTAGTTTCATGAGGTCCGACAACATTGTTTCTCAATGTCTGCTCCCTCTACCCCATACACTTATCTTGATAAAATTATATAAATTATATTATTAATTACTCTGGTATATAAATTGTATAAACCGGTCTTGTTATAAATTATATAAACTGGTCTTGTTTATGTAATTTTACAATGTCATAAACAGCTGCTTAAGTGCATATAATATTGTATTAAATGGATTTATATATAGGATTAGGGAAAGATCCTCACTTGATTATGCCAGCATATTTTGCTCGTAGGAGTTTATTATCTACCACACATGATCAATGTCACTTTTGGACGTGAATGACTTTTGACACCCTAACTTCAGTTCAAATCAACGTTAACTTTATGTGACGTCTTTCTGAATCTTTTTTGGCATGTAACTTGGGTAAAAACAATTAAAGTACTCTCGATGCATTTGATTTCTCTTAGCCCGTTTAAACATTTCCTAGGTCTATACCAGTTTTTGCAGGGGCGAAACTATATAGAAGTTGGAAAAGAAACCTATCCCCTTTTTGACGTATTTGGTTTTCAAGGGGTGAAAATTTTCAATGTTACACTCAACTACATGCAACATTTATTATATTATACTGAATGTTTTATACAAATACAAATAATAGTGAACCTTGAGCGCATAAATCTGCGCAGTCACTATTTTTTGGAATATCACCCGTCGTCAAGCAATGTTGACTGTTGCGACACTGGAGGGCGTGGCTTCATTATTCAGTGGGTAATAGTGCTTTTTAACAAATGTTTCTTGACGAATCAGATTGATTCATTTAATATACCTGAAAGTACAATATTAATTAATTGTCATCATTTTCCTATATTAGCTTTTTACTGGTAATGGTTTTGAAATGATAGGAACATGCACTGTTCAAAAAGTCTTAAAATGTTGTTTTGGCTCAATTTCTTTGTTAGATTACTGTGTTGAACTAAGGCAGGTCAATTAAAGTAACATGATCCAATAGATTCCATGTACATTTAGTACTGTAAAGTAGACAAATTTATTGTTCTCACAAATATTTCTCAAATATTGATTTAAGTTGGTCTCCTGAAGGATGTATTAATGCAATTGGTCTGCTTAAGGTATAATATAGACATGCATATTTTATTTTGAATTTGTATTATGTCAATCATTAGAAATATATGGATCTTAATTAAAAAACATTGTTTTTATTAGAATTTAAGATATGTATAATAGGCATATATTCTTCATGCTTTTCCATAATTAAGTCCTTTTTTACAGGGTCTCTGCTAGAATCATGTGGACCCCAGTGTAACACATCTATGGAAAGAGAGAAAATCTCAGCTCAAGGGTCAACATGTCTTTATTCCAAGAAAGGTAAATTGATAATTTTTTTCTGCTAAAATACTCTTTTATAAATTATAATATCAATGCAAAAGAATGAACAAACAACATACCTAACAACATTTTGAAAATGAAAGTGCAATAACAGTTAATAATTATGATCAATTGAATGTATGTTAATAATCCAATCAAAGTCCTTGTTGTATATCATTTTTGCTAGGGCTGTGTATTGAGCAAAAAAAAAGAAGAAGACATTTTTTAATGCGATATGCAATATATTGGATTCTTTCACAATTCTGTCAAAAAGTCTTATAAATCATTATGCATGAATTTTATAAAAATAATAATTGTTTTGCAACTCATTTTTAATTTTTTGTCTCACTGTCTTTAAAAATTACACTTCAAATTCAAACTTTTCTTGACTGTAAAATCAACATGCTAAGTAAAGTTGTCTATGTATTTTTATGATTTTGTAATAATCATCTAAGATGTGCTACCTCCTTAACGATTATATCATTTTTGATCAGTTTTAATTCAAAACAGTTAAATATAATCTTTGGTGATTGAAATTCCCAACTTTTTCACAGAATTACATAAAAAAACTGCCTGCCCAAAATGTATTGGAATTAAGTTATTTTTTGGATACGATATATTCATTAATCTAGATATGTATCAATATATTTGGTGCAGCCCTAATTATTGCTGGTTCATAAATAACTAAAAAATAAACAAATGCCAAATGTTGGCATGGTTGGCATTGCAACTGTATCTTACACATTCAAATCAGGCCATTCTTACAAGTTTTGAAACATGTTGGATTCTTCACTAGTGCCGCTACTACAGAGAAGACAGCTTGTTTATAAACTGTGTCATTCAAAGTTTCAGTATATATATGAGAAACACAACAAATCTGAATGCTTAGCCATTACACTAAATGATGAATCTACTTTATTGTGTTATTTATTGACATTTGACAATCATGATTTATAAATCATTTTGAAATTTTTAAAAACAAATTAAAGCAATTCCCATCAATTCCTCCCTAGACAAATATATTAATGATAATTTTTACAGCAATACCTTGCTGTAAATTTCAATTCAAGTGATTTGATTTTTGATTTTTTTTTTGTTTGTTTGTTTGTACATTTATGGTTAATTTATCCTTAGAAAAAAATTAATAAGAAAGTAATTTTATTAAAATTTTATAACTTAAATAATGTCTAGATTCATGTATTGAATCATAAAATTGTTTTGAGAGATGTATCGTATCATAATGTCTGTGTATTATTCAAACCCAATATACCTACATATCACGATGTATCATTTCAGCATTTATTTGTTAGTGTTGTTTGATTTGTTTTGTATATGCCCTTTCCTGCTCAGAAAGCAGAAAGCAGAAGTTCTTGCTTCATAATTGTCACTCAAGACCTGAAACTGTATTAGAAATCTGTATGACGTGTGAAATTTCATATCTGTTTTGACATAGTTGTTAATTTGTATAACAAAATGCAATAATACAACACAATTGATTTAATAGCATTAATTTTTGTATCAGCAAAAAAAAAAAAAAAAAATATTTTCCCTACCTACTGACCCAAGTGTTTAAAGACTCAATCGGCAATGCCAAACCAACAATTTTTTAACTGTGGCCTTATCCACTGATATTTCTTTTGTTCTGATTCTTAGGTTCTTTTGTTCTGATTTTTTGTTCATTGAAAAAAATTAACGCCTTTTCTTTGATTCCTTAATTTTCAAGTTGAAGAGTGCATCCCGACAATCAGTTATGATGTTACAGTGTCCACTGTCCAATCCGACAACTGTGCAATCCAGCACACTGGACTTTCCGACCATTAAAACTTAAATATTTTATTCCCAAAAATTTCTTTATAATATATATAGAATAAAACACTGTATATTCCGACCACTGTACATTCCGAATTCTGGTGCTTTTTGTCGACAAGACTAGATAATTACCTTATGATTTTACCTGGGTAATTCGACATAATTATACATTTGTACCATAATTAGTCGCTAGTTCCATTTGGGCACAAGCTTGGTCTACTTAGTAGTTAATTACATGTATTAGTTTGATGGTGTTTATATAAACAATAAATGAACTGTGTTTGAATTTAAAAATTAGGCAATCAGTACTCTTCGTTGTTATCAATTTTATTCTCGCATTGACAAAATAGCATCCACGCGATAGAAAATAAAAAGGAGTACCTGATATTTAGATTGCCTTTACCTAACAGAATAAATAAGATTTTTTGCTTGAAATTGAAATCAAACATGCAGTCAGAGTCCTTTAAAGTCATGTCTCCCTAAAAAATGAGTACAGCAAACTACTGTATAACATGTAGACAACACACAATTTGAAGACAGCATCTCGTCTAATAGAAAATGTTTCATTTCCGGGTTAATATACACTGAATTAAGTGAGACTGTGCACATGAAAGATTTGCAGGAAGCAAAAAACTTCCACTTTAAGTAGACCCATTAAATTTTAAAATGTTAATGTTGTTTGATAAAAATTAAATCGCAATAACAATGTTTTAGAGGTACGTCCCATTTATTTGAAAAGTCACGAGAGGGTATTAATAGCACAGTCTATCTTGAGAAGTTAACAATGCAGAAAAAATCAGAGAGAAATGTAGTGTAGAAAAAAAAATAAAACCACTGTTTACAGAAGGTAGACAAAATATTTAATATCTACTGTTAGTAAGTAAAATGCTAAAAATTAAATTGCAACAACTCGAAGTGATTGGCAGTTCCATCTGTTTTGCACGTTTAAAAGAAATTATCGTATATTACTACAGAGTTTACTAGTGCTGTAACAAATGATGTGTCTCAAAGAAATGTTAATCAGCCGAAGGTATATTTTATACAACAAAGAAACACACACACACACATACTTTGACAATTAAATACACATGTACTCTAAACCTAACGAAAAATGTTTTTTTTTTTCTGTATGAAGTCACCTGACATTTATCATAATGCTCAGAAATATTCAACACTGGGTAATCCGACACACTGTCTAATCTGACATTGATTTTATTCCCCTTCAACATGTTGGATAAGACAGGTTTCACAGTATATCAATGACGTAATGTATGCAATATATAAATAACTGTCCCACCTGCCTGCTAATGTGGAAACAAAACTTCCCTCCATAACAAAAGAGTGCACCAATGGAGATCATTCGGCAAACCTCGGCTGATTCCGTCACCTTCATCAAACGTTTGATGAGGTACGAATCGGCCGAGGTGTGCCGAGTGCAATGGAGATAATCTCGAAACTTGTGTAGTAAGATCAACTCCTAACAATGCACCACTTTTCAGCATTTATATTCAGTGCTTAAGGGTTTATTCTTACTAATGAAATAAGTTGTGGTGATGCCTATATTTACTGTAAGACATTTGTAATAATGAAGCATTTGTGAGATGTACCCTTTATCAGTTATTTACAAACAAGGCATTTGAAGAGGATGAGCACAGTGCATTTTTTTTATCTGAAGTTAAGGTGATTTTAAGCAAAAAACATTTCTTGTCCATATTTAGAAAGCAAAATATTTTGACTTAGTTTAAAGTTTTATAAACCCATTAAACTTGTTAAAAAATTAAGTATGTAAACTTAATTTTGAATAAAGAGTTGGTCCTCTGTGTAAAACTTGCTCTGTGAGCAAGTTGGAATTACAATGCCTTTCACGATTCCTTCACATTAAATGGGGTGAAGACCCACAATATTAATAAATGTAGATTAAACATCCTATTTATGTCAGTTATTGTATTAAATGAGCTTTCAACCATTTTATGCTTTATGGTTTTAAATAATATTTTATATTTCATAAATTAGACAGTGAAATTTGCAAAAAAAAAAAAATTATTGATTTTTAAACTGTTGTTACATTTAGGAATGTGGGTATATGTACATATCCTGTTCAAGTCTTTGTGTATCACATTATATCATGATATACTTCAGACAAATTAGTACACCCGTAGTCTTGAATACAATTCATACATTGATTTCATTTGCCGCAATGGTCTCTTTAATATTGCAATAATGCATTTGGTCTTCCTAATGCATGTATAATGCAGGTACTGTATATACTCTATGTCCAACTTATAGGTGAGTCATAAAAAGATTAGTATTTTGAAACCAGGTTAAAACATCAGAGCATTGATTTGAAATTGTCAATTGATTCTGGCAAAAAGTTGTACCGATTTATAAGCGGGTCAATAGCAAATCCCTCCAAAATAACCTCAAAAAATACAACTGATTTATAGGCAGACCACCTTATAGGCGAGTATATACAGTATAGTTTTTGTTGAATTTTGCTAACAGCAAAACACTATGAATAATGAATTTTGGAAAAAAAGATTATTAAGTTTAATGATGCATGTATGTAGTATAGAAATATTGTTCATATGCCTGTACATGGTACAAATATGCATTTTACAGAGTGTACATATGCCAGAATCATATGGACCGCAGACTGGCCCTGGTGATTCCGTTAAGAAAAAAGAGGAAAAATCAGTGTTTGTGCTCATTGGTCATTGGACAAAGGTAAATAGATTTATTTCATGAAACTAAACATGTAAATTACTAGGATATTAAAATATCACAATTAAAATACATGTACTGATTTATATATATATGGATATCAGTTGTTCTCCTTGATGCAGTTATATGCATTTGTTATCCCTTTTAAGTGGATCTTTTAAATATTATGCAGTTTATTTAGAAGCTCTTTATTATCTGCACTGTTCACTTTTACAGGGTGTATGCCAGAATTTTTTGAAGAACAGTCTGAATCTGACATGGAAAAAATGAAGAAAAACAGCCTTCCTGTTTATAAATCTACATTCTGACAAAGGGTAATTTTGTTTAGTTCAATTAGAAGTGCACATTTAATTTCAGTTGCTTTCCTTAATGATATATTATAGCATTTTTATTCCCTTATGAACAATATGTATACTTGTAAAGCATGTATCACAAAATCTTCTGCAAACAAAGTTTTGGGTGTATATTGCTTGTTGCTTAACGTCCCTCTTGAGAATTTTTCACTCATATGGAGACGCCACCACTTGCTGGTGGAGAGCTGCAAATTTTTGTCCTATACTCAGCACTTACGGCCATTGAGCATTGAGGGATCTTTATCGAGCCAGCACCTACTGTGACATGGGACCTCAGTTAATACGTCTGTCTCATCTGAAGAACGGGTCTCCACATTCCACAGTGGGATTAAAACTCGCTATGTAAGGATCAGCTTCTTTCTCCGCGACTCTAGAGTAGACGCTCTAACCACTGCATCTGCTCTACTTTGGCAACTTTGGGTGTATATAAGCATGGTTGTATATAAGCATAGGAATCATCATGTCCATCTGTCTGTTCATGTGTTTGGCCACTTGTGTGACTAGCTTTTTTGTTCCAATTCTGGCTGAGATAAATTGATTTAGGTCATCTAAATACAAACAAATTAAGGGAAATTACTATGGTATTGGGATGAACATTTTGGAATACTGTCTCATTGTTCCATTGTAGTTGGTCTCTTTAATGTTGTAATAATGCATCTGGTCTTCCTAATGTATGGCATACACTGTATGCATGTATAATGTTGTTAAAGTTGGATGAATGTAAAACAGTTCTTGCGTGATGACAAAGGTAAATAGATTTAGTTCATGTAACTAAACATGTAAATTACTAGGGTATTAAAATCTCTCGTTTTGAATACTGATTTACATGTGGAGAGTAGTTGGTCTCCTTAATGCAGTAATAATACATTTGATCTTCCTTATGCATACTGCATATTTATTTTTATATAAATTTAATGGCTGACATGTATGAGGGTTGATCCAAAAGTTTGTTGAATTTCTTCATATTTTATTTATTTATTAGTGAAAGAGGTTGAATACTGATTTAGATGTGGATAGTAGTTGGTCTCCTTAATGCAGTAATAATACAGTTGGTCTTCCTTATGCATACTGTATATTATATAAATTTAATGACTGACATGTACGAGGGTTGATCCAAAAGTTCGAGGAATTTCTTCATATTTTTAGGTCACCTGAGTAACTCAGGTGACCTATTGCTATCCGTTTTCGTCCGTCGTCGTGCGACGTACATTAACATTTGAACATTTTTAGCTTCTTCTCTGAAACCGCTCAACCAATTTCAACCAAATTTGGTATATAGCATCTTTGGGTGAAGGGAGAGGGCAAACAAACATTATTTTAAAGATTGCCTTAGCATGTCGTTTATTCTGTGCATTTATGGCAATTAATATTAAAATCGTCCAGACCTGTTAAAACCCATGGATGTCCACAAAAATGTTACTCAAATCAAATTTCATGTTAAAATTCGAAGTAAATATAAATACCTGTGTAATTGTATAATGGTGTAACAAATGTTTAAGAATGCCATATTTAAATTTCAAAAATTGCTCTAAATGTGCATGAGATAAATATCTAAATGCTGTGAAGAAGCACTGTGCTACAATTACCATATTAAAGAAGTGATTTTAATGAAATCTTGTTTCTAAAAAACCTGTAGAAAATTTAAAGAAAATTAGAAATCACGATTCTTACCCCAAAACCATCAGATGGTATGAAAGCCTTCAAACAATGTGTTTTACATAATTCGCATTTCCAAAAACTGTGATCATTAATTTGCCGACCTATTATTGTATGTTCTAATGAAGGAGAATTCATGTGCAAACTTCTACATGAGAAGAATAAAAGTATTGCCGTGTCCTGCAAGAAAACAAAATCACATTATATTATCAATTGCAGATGGTGTCTACGTCTTTCAACTAATTTTGCAACGGCAAGAGTATCTTCTATGTAGTAACTGTTTTGAACCAAGACATCCTACTGACAACTAAGTCCATGATACAGAGCTTTCTACTGCCTTGTTTAGAATTTTACATGTCGAGAAATTTATGGTCAGTGTAATGACCTTGTTTGCAAATCTAAATCTTCATTACGTCGAGTTTAGACTTTCATGTGAATTTCATGGTCCCTGTCCCCCTGGGGCCTGAGGGGCGGGGCTAAAACCACCAAAAATAATGCAATCTTTAAAAATCTTCTTCTTTACTCCTGGACATCAAGCAGTCAAACTGTTCGCATCATTGTAATAAGCATTGAGCCCTCTACCAAAATTTTGAAATTCATGGCCCCAGGATCAGGGGTTCTGGTGCTAGGATGGGGCAATATAGATCATATAGTGAAAGTGCATTATTTCTTTGAAAATCTTATTCTCTGCTCCTGGGTATTAAATAAAGTAACTAAGTACATAGTTATGAAAAGCAAGACTGCCTCTTCCAAAATTGTGAATTTCATGGCCCCAGGGTCAGGGGTTCTGGTGTTAGGGCGGGGCTCTATTGATTATATAGTGAAAATGCATTAATTCTTTGAAAATCTTCTTCTCTGCTCCTGGGTATTAAATAAAGTAACTAAGTACATAGTTATGATGAGGAAGAGGGCCTCTTCCAAAATTTTGAATTTCATGGCTCCAGGGTCAGGGGTTCTGGTGTTAGGGCGGGGCTCTATTGATTATATAGTGAAAATGCATTAATTCTTTGAAAATCTCCTTCTCTGCTCCTGGGTATTAAATAAAGTAACTAAGTACATAGTTATGATGAGGAAGAGGGCCTCTTCCAAAATTGTGAATTTCATGGCCCCAGGGTCAGGGGTTCTGGTGTTAGGGCGGGGCTATATTGATTATATAGTGAAAATGCATTAATTCTTTGAAAATCTTCTTCTCTGCCCCTGGGTATTATTTAAACAAACTAAGTACATTGTTTTGATATTCAAGATTGCCTCTTCCAAAATTGTGAATTTCATAGCCCCAGGGTCAAGGGTTATGGTGAAAAAGGGTCAGGGGCTCTATTGATTATATAGTGAAAAAGCAAAATTTCTTTGAAAATACTCTTTTCTGCTTCTGGTTAAAAAGCAAAGAAGCTAAGCATATAGTTATGATGAGCATGATTGCTTCTTCCAGAGTAGTGAATTGCATGACCCCTGGGTCAGATGTGCTGGTGTAATGGTGGGGCTCTTGATGATATAGTGAAAATGCATTAATTCTGTTAAATAATCCTGTCTGCTCCTTAGTGTTAATCAGATAAACAAAGTGATTACTTACATGTATGATGAGCAAACTTCTGGTCCCAGGGTGAGAGGCTCTGGTGTTTCTAGGTGGGGGGGGGGGGGGGGGGGGGCTCTATTGATAATATAGTGAATCTGTAGTAAAAAATGCATTATTTCTTTGAAAATCTTCTCTGCACCTGGGCATATCAGAGGCAAAACAAGTAAAAGTTTTCATAAAGATTTTTGAACATCTGGCTTCGGGGCCACCAACGTATAAAATCTCAGCTCAAATCTCAACCTCAAATCTTAGATTTCTGCCTCAGCTGAGATTTTCCTAAAACATCATGCCACCAACATCTCTGAGATTCGATCATCTCACGTAAGCTGAGATTTGAGAAAAATCTTGGACTTATTCTCGTTGTTATATACGACCTTTTTTTCTGAAAATGCATGAATTTGTTGAATCAATGATTGAATTTACCTTTTAGTCAGTTATTTATGCAATATTTTAGTGAATATCACGAAAAAACACATCCCACACTTCCTTCGTCTTTTATTTGTTGTTTCGAGTCATTCAACAAAGAGGATTCCATTTCGACATTTGCGACAATAAATTTTCATTGAACCCCCCGTAAAAAATCCCTACAGAAGAATAACACAAAAACATATCTAAACTTTGTAGTCTTGGTTCGTCTGTCGACATAAACACACAAAAACATACACCGAGGCGTCACTTCCACCATTGTGACGTTACATGTAGCAGGTAGGCGGATCAAGACTATATTCCCCAGACTGATTAAAAGAAATCATTTTTCTTTGTTTGTTATATATGTTAGATATATCTGTATAATTCTTAATTCTCCATAGCAAAAAAAAAAAAAAAAAAATATGAGTCATAGGGACTATTTAAATTTAGAATAAACCTGAGTGAATTTTTTTTCTAGCAGATCCACACAAAAAAAATGCTCAGTAGGCTTATATCATGTAAATTTCTCACATGCTGTAATAAATTTTGCGAGTATACCATAATTGTGGAAAAACAGCAAACATATCCAGGAGCAGGTAACATACGCATGCTTAGTTTTACAGGATTTAATTTATCAAGGAAATTTCTCGAGGAACTGTTTAATTGTCGGTGAATTTCAGCTCATATCCCCCCAGAAGGAAGAAAAACCGGCTGAAATTTGAACTAAGGGCATGTATAGGGAAGCGGCAAACTAACACATCGCATTTTTCTACGATCCCCTGTGACAAAATGTCTCGGAAAGTCTTCTTTTTTTTTTTTTAGATAAATAATAAACAACGAATATAGCACCACTTGACAAATAATCATCGTTACATTGAAAACCAGAATCAATCTCGCATACGCTCATTGAGTAATGAGAAACTGATTAATTTCTAATTGTATCGTAAATAAAAGTTTCACTGCGTAATGATGTAATTTTAAAAAAAAAAAAAAGAACCTACGGATCATACTTTTTTGCTTCAAAATGTAAGTTGTCGTACTAAAAAATACTGTTTGTTAAAAAAGAATCTATTCTTGCAAGTACTATAGCTAGCAAGTACATTTGAATAGATGCAGTCCTTCTTGTGATTTATACATGTATTTCAGAATGGTCATAAGTCAAGTTTATTCTTATAAATAATATAAATGGTCAAGGATTTAAGTACGCACAATACATTGTGAGTATAAAGTCGATCCAAATTCTCAATCAAGAATTTTATAGATTTAATTAAGAACCAAATTAGACAGACTGCTATCATCTGTAATAAATAAATGGCGATTTACA